ACATCCAAGCAAATGGAGGGATTGACACTGAGGAGTCCTACCCTTATGAGGCCGAGGTAATAAAAGAGTGGAGAATAATGTGCTTATTATAATGTTATAATGTTATTGTTCATCACTTGACTGTCATTATCTTGACAAATGACAGAGTTGGAGATGAAAAGACAATTATTCATGATAGACTTGCAAGCAACTGGTGTACTTTACTGCCACCTTGTGGAAAAACACTATATATCTAGTGGCTCAGCAAATCTGTTCAAGTCCAGTTTATTGACTAGTTTTAAATCTATATTTAAAACTATAGTACTTGGTAAATGCTCTGATCTCTTATATCTTTGCAATATACTTGGAAAATGTGTGAGTGAATAATTTGCATATTTTTTTCTCGACTAGAATGGAAAATGCCGTTATAATCCTGATAATATTGGAGCCACATCCACCGGCTATACTGATGTGAGTCAAGGCGATGAAGACGCCCTGAAAGAGGCTGTGGCCACCATCGGACCCGTTTCTGTGGGCATTGATGCTTCTCAGATGTCATTCCAATTCTACGAATCAGGTAAAACACTGTTTTGAAAGAGCCAAATAAAAATCTTATATAGAGAAAGAAATGTGAAGATTTACTTATTGATTTTTAAACCTCTCAGTCTAAATTATATGTATTTCTAGGAGTGTACAATGAGCCCCAGTGCAGCAGCTCAGAGTTGGACCATGGTGTGCTGGCTGTGGGTTATGGTACTGAGGACGGAAATGACTACTGGCTGGTCAAGAACAGGTAAATGATTTCATGTGATGCTCATATTTTAATTCATGTTCTTGACTTCTTCTAATAGTCACTGAGGGCTGATACACAACTGAATAAAGGCATCTTATACATGTAGATTAATATGTCTCTTCATTCAGTTACATATTAATCTGCTAAATGTTTATTAATTTGTTTCTTTCTGCAGCTGGGGTCTTGAATGGGGAGACAAGGGATACATTAAGATGAGCAGGAACAAATCCAACCAGTGTGGGATTGCTACTGCAGCAAGCTACCCTCTGGTCTGAAGAGGTCAGTAGAAACTTAAACTACTTTTTCTTTCTAGCTCTACTAAGATTTTTTTTTTTAACAATTTCATTAACAATTCCTTTTAAACATATCAAACCTATGATCATGTGCACAGATTAATATAAAAATATTTGTGCATCCCACAGTTTATTGACTGATTGATTACATTTGCAGGTTTCCTCAGTGAGGCGGAGATCAGTGGCATGTAATCAACATTAATTTTATTTTTATTATTTCATTTTTTTTAGGGTAAAGAGTCACCCTTTGCCCTGGTTTATGTTTAATAGAAACTTATATAAAAATTGTAAATAAATATAAATAAATAAAATATTTCACAGTGATTTAAACATTTGTTTGTGCGTTTCTCTTTGTTGGGGGTGTTTGGCTTTGTAACCATTCAGTGGTTTATCCAGACAGAGATATTCAACCTCAGTGGGATTTTTTTTTGTCCCACCACACAATTTTAAATCATACAGAAAGTGTGTGAAGTCTGGTAGCCTTAATCTAGCATACAGCTCAGCTAACCAACTGATCACATGCCATCCAGCATCAGCTCATGGACACCACAGCACCAGCTCCTCCTCAGAAACAGTGTGACTCCTGGTGGGCCTTCATTGCACTCACACTGTTCTGTAACATACTGTTCAAGTTAATTCAGATATATTTATATACTTCCAAATAGCCAAATCAGTAAACATCCCGTGGACTTAGAGAGAAAACCATAACAATCAGATCATCCCCTTTATACAGGCTGCATCCATAGTGTTTAGAAGCAAAAAATTACATTCTCCTCTCTGGTTTCTCCTGTCTTTGATCTTGTTTTGATCTTTTTTTATTTTAAATAACATTTCTTGCTTTATCTTTTCAGAAACAGCTTTACTTTCTTGGGCATTCTGTAGTTGGTGAAAATTTATCTCCATCCATCCAGCCGTCTTCTTCCGCTTATCCGGGGCCGGGTCGCAGGGGCAGCAGGGGAAAGGGAGCCCAGACCTCCCTTTCCCCTTCCACCTCCTCCAGCTTGTCTGGGTGCTTTTAAATAAAATGTATTCTTCTTCTTCTTCTTCTTCTTATTATTATTATTATCATCATCATCATCATCATCATGTGTATGTGTAAGCATGCTGCAAAAAAACCCCCTCTGCACTCTACGTCATCCAGCAATATATCAATCCAGACAGTAACGCTTGAACGAAGCTCTTTACCCTCAAAATACGGAGCGCCAACTCGATTATGAACACATTTTCATTGTGTGTGTAAAAAAAAACTTCTGCAGACTCTAAGCTACTTGGCTGACCACAAGTGGTGCTCCCACTCCTTTATGCACTCCAAGGAGAAAGGCAGGAAGTCACAAATTGATCATACCACACACATCACGAGGCTCGCTATGTAACCTAATGGAACAATGGGCATGCTGTTTTGTGCCCTTGGCGTTATCAGTGCCTGTAAAGGGAGTTGTCTTCTCCAGCTGCTGTGGCTGAAATAAGTTCATTTAGTTTTAGAAACTTTCACTGAACAGTCAGCTACAATGTCACAACTAAGCATATGCATAAGCACTTTAATACTTTAAATGTAAATAATAAAATTTTCTATTACACTCCCTTTTCCCGTCACTCGTGAACAAGACCCCAATATACTTAAACTCCTCCACTTGGAGCAGGAACTCGTCCCTGACCCAGAGTGGGCACTCCACCCTTTTCTGGCTGAGGACCATGGCCTCAGACATGGAGGTGCTGATTCTCATTCCCACCTCTTCACACTCTGTGAACTGTCCCAGTGCGAGCTGGAGGCCATCGCCTGTTGAAGCCAACAGATCCACATCATCTGCAAAAAGCAGAGATGAGATTCTGAGACCACCCAAGTGAAAGCCTTCCGCCACTTGGCTAGGCCTAGAAAGTCCATAAAAATTACAAACAGGATCGGTGACAAAGGGAAGCCCTGGCAGACTCCCTCACCCACCGGAAAAGAGTCTGACTTATTGTCAGCTATGTGGACCAAGCTCCTGCAATGGTTGTACAAGAATCGAATGGCCCGTAGCAATGGGCAAGACACCCCATACTCCTGAAGCACCTCCCACAGGACACTCCGAGGCACATGGTCGAATGCCTTCGAGTCCAAAAAGCACATGTAGACTTGGTTGGGCAAACTCCCATGCACCTGCAAGTATCCTTAAGAGGATAAAGAGCTGGTCCGGTGTTCCATGACCAGGACGAGAACTGTATTGTTCCTCCTGTAGCAGAGGTTCGACTAACGGACTGGACTCTTTCTTAGTCTGGAGTTTATCGCAGATTCATTAATTAAATGAAGTTAAGGACAGAGAAAAGAATGTACAAGTTAAATAAACCTTGATATAGAGCTAAAGTTTTATAAGCATTATAACAACTCAAATTTATTAATTTAGTGAACTTGACCTTGCTGCTCGAGTCCAGAGTGGTGTGACGCGTCTAGTATCTGCGTGCTAGTGAACTGCAAAATCTCCAGTGGTCAATTGGAAAATAAATAAAAATGCTAGTAATTTTTCAGTGTTAGAAAATCAACACTGCTGACGTTAGTCACTGTTAATCTTTAACACTGACTAAGTTACTGTTAAAATATAACACTGTCAGTGTTAATTTAACACTCAAAAGAGTGGACACATAAAAACACTTTTCTAGTGTCAATTGAACACTGGAGATTTTGCAGTGGGGTAGTGTATTTGCATTTGTCACCTTTCGCTTTCAGCCACACCATGACACTGCCACATCGCTGCTGAGTACTGATGATTGCAGTTCTGCAAAAAGGAGAACTGACTGAGGGAATGTTTTTGGCCAGCATATAGCCTTTTCCTATACATCTAGGGTAGTCTACAGTGTGGTGCGATACATACATGTTAAAAAGGTTTAGCCACCCGCTACATGAAGGTGCGTAGACTTTTTGAAACAGTTCAGATCTCACAGGAAAAATGAAACACCAGGGAGTGCCGAGCTCCAGCTCTCCGCTTCTTCACTACAGACCTTTAGACCAGCTCAAGGAGTGCTTGGTTTTGAAGTGTGGTTACTCATTGAATTGACATTTCAACAGCATGTAACACAAAAAATAAAAGTGCCATCAAAACAACAACAGTTGCCTGTAATATTTGAAAACCTCACATATTTCTCTCATAAGAAATGCTGACTGATATCAATATTCCTCCACCAGATCACCCTTCCTCAATTCTGACAATTCATTTCAAGAGATCAATACTACCAACACCTGGATAACTGAGAATCTACACAGACACTTAAAGTATAGTTACACATTTATCTGCTTCAGTTCTTTAGATTTTTCTCTATGAGCTCCAGTCAACCACCTGGCCTTATCTGGTTTGTTAAATAAACAACTTTATTATTAAGATTGCAGATTAATTGTGTTCCATGTTGTAGATTCTGTTTACATACCCTTGTGTTTAACTATAAATTTGTGAGAGGGGATTTGCTTGCATTGTTTTACTTTATCTTATTCATTGATTTTCAGACACTCGAAGATGGCTGAGAATATTGCTCAATGACAAGCTAACACATTTCATCCTGGACTACTTTCAGCTGCCTTAAATACTTCAAAATCATTTTTGTTGTTAAAGAAGTCTGAAATGTGGACTCAGATATTGGCTGCTTATATGGCTTTTTAGCAACTGAGTGAAAATATTGTTTGTACATAGACCAGCAGGAGAGAGAAACAGCAAAATTTAGGTCTGGGACTGTTTTTTTCCATAATTCCAAACACAGCTAAGAGATTTGCAAAAACTATTGAAGACCAAAGAAGACTAAATGCTGACTTTCATGAATGTTACTCAACCAGTGAACCTCCAGTGAACAACTGTGGGGGCGGGTAAAAAAGTCACACTTCCTCTTTGGAACACTGCCAAACAAATTGTGTTGACTCTTAATGCTAAGCTCCACCTTTTTATGTTTCAGTGCATTACATTCTTTTGCTTTGTTTGCACATTTCTGTCCTGACTTGACTGGAATACAGCAGTTATAACTGTAGTCAGCTATAGAGGAACTCGTCTCTGACACAGACGTACATCAGTCACAAGTGGTTCGTCTATAGCGGACACTGAGACAGGTAAGCAGCTACAGCACTGATAGACACATAGATGAGTGTAAATACACTTTTCAGTAACATGCTGATGGAAAAAAACCTGAGAATCATTCATTTGAGGAAGAATTGGAAGGTGAAATACAAAACTCAAAGAAAATGGGCAGAGTAGATACTGTGATTCTATGAAAGTGACAGAAGATATTATGATAGAAAACATTTTAAAACTGAAAAACATCTGTGTCTTTTTCTGCTTGTGTTCAGTCAAGATGAAGTTGCTGCTTGTTGTTGCTGCGGTTCTGGCTGTATCCAGCTGTGCCAGCATCTCTCTGGAAGATCTGGAGTTTCACGCCTGGAAACTCAAGTTTGGTGAGACAGCAGACTCTTTTAGTCTTTTTGTTTCTGTTGATCCTTGGGAAGACTTGGAAAGAAATGTGAGCTCACCCTAATATGTTAAAATTGTGTAAAAAGGGAAATTTCTTAGCAGATTATTTCTTACATTCATTACCAATGTATTTTCTTTTGTTCTGTTTTCACTATTTCCTTTTCCAACTGGTAGATAAGTCATATGACTCTGAATCAGATGAGGCTCAAAGGAAGCAGATCTGGCTCAACAACCGCAAACATGTGCTAGTGCACAACATCTTGGCAGACCAGGGTTTGAAGTCCTACCGCCTTGGGATGACCCAATTTGCTGATATGGTATGTGCAAAAAAAGACGTGTCATTCAGATTTTACTCCTCACCATTTACAATTTCACAAATACTTGTTTTTTGTAATGCATGTATGCATGTAAGAATGCATAGAAACTTTTAAATAAAAACCCCATGAACTCTGTTCCTCTTCTCAGGAAAATGAAGAGTACAAACGACTGGTTTCCCGGGGCTGCCTTCACTCTTTCAATTCTTCTCTACCTCGCCGCGGCTCTACCTTCTTCCGACAACGTGAAGGTACTGATCTACCCGACACTGTTGACTGGAGAGATAAGGGATATGTCACCGATGTCAAGAATCAAATGCAATGTGGCTCCTGCTGGGCCTTCAGTGCAGTAAGTAGAAATAACTTTCTGTTCTTTATTTTTGTAACATGGCAAACTTTGCTCGGCTGTGGTCTGGTTTCAAACTCACTCTTTTTGTTTTTTCAGACTGGCTCACTGGAGGGTCAGCACTTCAGGAAAACAGGAAAGCTGGTGTCTCTGAGTAAGCAGCAGTTGGTCGACTGCTCTCAGAGCTTTGGCACCCATGGCTGCAATGGAGGCTGGATGGACTATGCCTTCAAGTACATCCAAGAAAATGGAGGGATTGACACTGAGGAGTCCTACCCTTATGAGGCTGAGGTAAATAGACTGTAATATGTCAAAAACATGTCACACTTGATTCCTTTTAAATCATGATCTTTGAATTTATACAAGCCTCAGCACTTTGCCATCTCACTATCATCAGCTTGATAGCTTTAGTGAAAATTACTGATGATATTCTAATACATTCAGATAAATGTCCTGCTCAACAGCTTTTGATACTGTTGAACATGCTACCCTTATTAGCAGGCTACAAAACTGCGTTGTCATCTCTGGTACTGCTCTCAAATGGTTTTCATCATACTTATCAAACAGATACTTCAGGATTCATATAAATCAATGCATGTCCTCATCTGCACCTGCCCCAGTCCTTCTTTATATATGTTACCCCTGGGCCAAACTGAGGTTCTAGTGCTCAGCCCACTAAGGACGTTAGTCAGGACATTAGCCCCCATGCCAATCATTTCAAATCATCTGCGAAAAACTTTGGTGTCACTTTTGATCACCACTTTAATTTCAAAACTCATATCTCAAAGGTTACCCAGTTTTGTTTCCTTCATCTGAAAAATATTGTGAAAATCAAACCTTTACCTTTCAATCATCTTGAAATTTTAGTATGCACTTTAATTTACAACTTTAACACTTGATTATTGCAATTCACTTTTCACATGCATTTCTCAGTCCTCCATAACTAGTCTCCAATTAGTTAAGAACACAGCTGCAAGGCTGCCAACTAAAACTAGGTGTCAGTCACATATTGCACCTATCCTTGCATCCCTTCACTGGCTTCGAATAAAATTCAGAATCCACTTTAAAATTCTGTTATTAACATAAAAGGCTCTACGTGGACAGGCTCCTGTGTATTTAGCTGAGCTTCTGACACCTTATCAATGCAGCCAGCCTCTCTGATTGTCTAACCTCCCTCTCTCTGGAGAGGTGATTGTGCTTTTGAGGCTTTAGTGCCCAAATCGTGGAATTGCTTTCCTCAATCAGTTAGGTTGGTTATTTGTTTTAAGCGAATGCTGAAAACTCATTTCTATTGGTTAGTGTTTCCTTAATCCATTCCCCTTCAATTTTGGCCATAGTTTGAAACGATACAAGTATGTATATGTGTATGTGAGAATGAAGATCTGTCGGTATGACTGACCATGTGACTGTTTATGTGTCTGTATGTTTTAACACGCACACTTGTCTTCAACGTGCACCTTTTATTTGAACTGTGAAGCCCTTTGTAACTCTGTGTTTTGAAAACTGAATAAATAAATAAAGTTATTATTATTATTTCAATAAGGAGAGATTATTAGACGGAACTGAACATCATTTATTGATATACAGAATTCAGTTATTTGGCTGTTAGACTCTGATCAACATCACATTTTTTATATGCTGTGTTGCGATCAACGCGAGAAATTATAACATATTTCCTCTGTATTAGGATGGAGATTGCCGTTACAACCCTAAATCTACAGGTGCTACATGCACTGGCTATGTTGATGTGCAACCAGCTAATGAAGAAACCCTGAAAGAAGCTGTGGCTACCATCGGACCAATATCAGTGGCCATTGATGCTTCTCGTCCGTCTTTTCTGCTCTATGAATCAGGTGCAGTCATTGAAACATAATTGAAAGTACCAAGAAAATTGTCTTAAAATTGAAAAAGAAATGGGAATAGTTTTGTTCTTTACATCTATCAGTTTAATTGACATGTGTTTGCAGGACTTTATGATGAGCCCGACTGCAGCAGCACAATGTTGACCCATGGTGTGCTGGTTGTGGGTTATGGTACTGAAAATGGACATGACTACTGGCTGGTCAAGAACAGGTAAATACCCACATGCGATGGTTATATTTAAATTTATATTTGATACACAGATACATAAAAACTTTTTTTATGGATTAACAATTGGATCATCATGTCTCTACATGTTATTGAACTGCTAGTGTGAACACAGCCCACTTTTAGCTGTTAAATGTTGTTAATTTCTTTCTTCCTGTAGCTTTGGTGTTGGATGGGGGGAGAAAGGATACATTAAGATGAGCAGGAACAAATCCAACCAGTGTGGGATTGCTAGTGCAGCAAGCTACCCTCTGGTCTGAAGAGGTGGGAAGAAACATTAGAGTTTAATGAAATGACATCATAAAGACTGCAAATACATGAAATATAAATAAATAAATAAACAAATTGTTTCACATTGACATTTAATAAAAGTAATTGTGTTTATTTCACTGTGTTGGTAGTGTATGGCTTAATAACCAAGAAGTGTTTTTTAGCATTTAAACTTTGGTCTGTTGATCAGTCCACTATGCTCAGCACCAGTGGGATTTCTATTTTTTTTTTATACTTCTGTGTTCCCCAAAGAAAAAAGTTGACTGGTGATCCGTCCCTGGCTTTTCCTGTACAGCCACCATGAGAAATATAATGTATTTGTTTTATTTTGTATTTGTGCCCTGTAATAAAGCAGTAGCTTGCAAAAAGGCTGAGTAATGCACCTTCATCCATTCCTTTTTGTAACAAAAGTTAGCACAAGTCAGAGATCAATCCTGATAGGATTTGCAATCATGGTTTTTAGTTAGATAGACTATTGTGAGAGGAATGACGGACCCGACCACATACTTGCACTTTCCAGCACGCTTCTTTATTCAGTTGTCGTTTCTTCAACTCATGTCTTTTTCACAGCTTTTCAGCTGCGTCCTACACACAACAACAACCTCAGGTCCCGACATGTTTAATATAGGGGAGGCGTGATGAGCTGATTGACCTCAGGTATGTCAGCCTCCCCCGCAGCCATGTCACGGACCATGCCCCACCACAACTGCCAATGCTGTTTTCACCATTTGGCAGAAGTACGGATACTTCTGTTAAAAAATACTGGTAAAAGCTGAAGTACTGATTTAACTTCTTTACAGGTTCTGAAACTTATTCAAAATAAGAAAGCAAAAAGTATATCTTTTGAGTATTTTTTTATGTAATAAAAGAGAATTGTGCTGCTGCAGTTGGTTCAATTGATGCAGTAAAATGATACTAGTGCAAGGAAATATAAATGTTATTTCATTCCATATTTTGATTCTAATGAATGTACTCAGGTTATATCAATTATGTAGAATACAAACACAGAAAAAGAGGGGGAATTAAAAACAAAAAACAGCTCTATCTGTTGCCTACATTACAGAGGCTAATTTTGCACACATAAACAAGAAAATTTGTACAGTTAGGGGTTAATGTGAGGTTGTAGAGAGATGGAAAGTAATCAGAATTGACGAGATCCACTGCCAGAAGGCAAAAATCCAGACACTGAGAATAGCTAGAAATTCCTGGAACGGGAACGGGAACCACAAAGAAGTTGCTATTATTAGTCAGTCAACTGAATGGGTAGAACAAGATCTGGGTGATCAAAACCTACGCCCTGCCAGTTGTCAGATACCCTCTACAGTAATCACCTGGCCAAAGGAGGAGATAGAAGCCACAGATGTGAGGACAAGGAAGCTCCTAAACAGAAGAAAGGTGGCTGAGGATTGGTGAGTGTCAGATACACTGTCCAGGATGAAACAACAAAGATCCATGAGATGTACACTGACTGTGTGCTTAGTAAACACCTCAGGCATCAGAAACCTGAGAAAGAAGAAGACTAAGAACAGATTCTCTACACAGATGAAGCAAACTCTATGTCAGAGTAATGTCACATACACGTAATTTGTTGGACAGACGCACAATTCATCTGGTTTTGTCCATCCATATCATTTTAAATCAAACACTCAAAATGCGACTGAAGTGCAGACTTTTACCTTTAATTCAATGAGTTTAAGAAACATTTGATATTTGACAAGTCATTGACAAAGAGTTATGTCGCCAGATGACGTAGGTCATTTGATATGTGCAGAAAAATCCCAGATCATAATCTTTGACTCTACAGGTCTTCATAACAAATGACTATTGTTATCTTGCCTAATAGCAGTTGGAGATGAAAATCAAATCATTCAGCTAGTGTTGCTGTATACCAACAGTTGCCTAACAGAAAGAAATCAGCAGAAGTAACCTCTGGGACTGATGTCAGACTGCCTCAACCGGTTTGTGATGATGGGAAATAATCACGAGTCATACACCTGAGGAAGGAATTTCTGCTCACAAAAACAAATCTAAGGTCAAAGTCAGGTTGCGACTTGTTAATTAAACAACTTGATTTACAACTGTGCTTCATGTAGTAGATTCAGTATCTGTCCACTTGCTTGTTTGAGTTGCTTTATTTTATTTGTAGTTTTTCAGACAAATCAATTAAAAATATTTCTCAAAGACAAGCTGAGTTTTTATACCTATTATGTATAAGAACTCAGTGTCTTTATATATACCACAAGACATAATACAGTTGGCTTAAACAATTCAAAATGAACATTTTATGTTGTTCAAAAAGTTTGAAATGTGGACACATACTGACTGCTTCTGTGGCTTTTAGCAAGTAACAGGATGGTTTTTGTAAGTAGACCTGCAGGAGAGGGAAACACAGTACGACATATTTAAGTTTGAGTGTTTTTTCAGTGATCCCAAACACACCTCAGAAATTTGCAAAAGCTACTTGAGAGAAAAAACCCCAAAGAATTCTGACTGTCATGAAGGTTCATCCACATGACTGTGTAACTTCCAGTTAACACTGTGGGGGAAAGCCAAACACTCTGTGACTTCCTCTTTGGAAAATTATTTTCACTCTCAATGTTTAGCTCCACCCTTTTGTACTTCAGTGCTTGACACTTTTTCTTTCCGTGCTGTCCTGACCTGACTGGAGTACTGCAGTCATATTATAGTCGGCTAAATAAACAAGCTCCCTCTGGCACAGTCGTTTATCAGCCACAGGTGGTTATCAGTCAGACTGAGTCAGGCGGTGCAGGTAAGTAGCTACAGTAGAGTTAACTAGACATGTAGACAATTATGAATACACTTTTCAGCAATGTGTTAATGAAAAAAAGCAGAGAATCATTAATTTGGGAAAGAACTCGTGGGAAATGTGAAACAAATAGTCGAAGAAAAATGTGACGTTATGAAAGTGACAGACAACATTACGAAAGAGTGCGTTTTAAAGCTGTCATTAAAACAAAATCGAAACTGCCTGTGTGGTTTCCTGTAAGTCACAAAGGATTTCTGTCTTTTTCTGCTTGTGTTCAGTCAAGATGAAGTTGCTGCTTGTTGTTGCTGCTGTTCTGGCTGTATCCAGCTGTGCCAGCATCTCTCTGGAAGATCTGGAGTTTCATGCCTGGAAACTCAAGTTTGGTGAGACAGCAGACTCTTTTAGTCTTTTTATTGCTGTTGATCCCTTTCTGTGCTTTTTAAATACTGTACAAGCCTCTCCTCTTTGATGTAAACCGTTTGTTTTTTAATTGTGTTCTGCTGACATTAAGATACTGTACAAGCCTCAAACTTGGAAAACTGTGGAAACAAAGGGAAATACACATTTTCCCTAAAATTCATTAATGGATTTTCTATTATTCTGTTTCTCATAATTTCCTCTCCCAATATGCAGAAAAGTCATATGACTCTGAGTCAGAGGAGGCTCACCGGAAACAAATCTGGCTCAACAACCGCAAACATGTTCTAGTGCACAACATTTTGGCAGACCAGGGTTTGAAGTCCTACCGACTTGGGATGACCCACTTTGCTGACATGGTATATGCAGAAAAACATGTGTCATGAATACTTTTAGTTGTAATTGTAAGGTTAAAAAAACAGAAACAAAAAACAAACTTTTGAACTAAAAACTGATAAATTTGGTCCCTCTTGACCAGGAAAATGAAGAGTACAGACGACTGGTTTCCCGGGGCTGCTTTGGCTCCTTCAATACTTCTCTGCATCACCGCGGCTCTACCTTCCTTCGGCTACCTGAAGGTACTGATCTACCTGACACTGTTGACTGGAGGGATAAGGGATATGTCACTGATGTCCAGAATCAGATGCAGTGTGGCTCCTGCTGGGCCTTCAGTGCAGTGAGTACATAAGCCCCAGTGTTCTTTAATCCTGTAAAATAGGAAGTTTGTTCAACTATTGTCTGGGTTCAAATAGACTCATCCTTATTGCAGATTGGTGCACTGGAGGGTCAGAACTTCAGGAAGACAGGAAAGCTGGTGTCTCTGAGTAAGCAGCAGTTGGTCGACTGCTCTCAGAGCTTTGGCAACCATGGCTGCAATGGAGGCTGGATGGACTATGCCTTCAAGTACATCCAAGCAACTGGAGGAATTGACACTGAGGAGTCCTACCCTTATGAGGCTGAGGTAAGCATTATGAAAAAATAATTACCATTACCTGACAATCATAATAATAATATAAGAAGTAGAAGTGTAAATCAGCTCATTCAGACAGTGTTATTAATCATGAAAGTGTATGAAGTTGTGTACTTCCAAGCCACATGAAGCCCACAGCATTAGCTACTTTACTGACTTCTTTCAAAACACATCTTTAAGATCACGGTGTTTTCTAAATGCTCTTTTTGTGAATATAATTATGACTAACACAATAAATTATAGCATCTTTTTTTCTGTATTAGGAAGGAAATTGCCATTACAACCCTGAAACTGTTGGTGCCACGTGTACCGGCTATGTTGATGTAAGTCCGAATGAAGATGCTCTGAAGGAGGCTGTGGCCACCATTGGACCGATATCTATTGCCGTGGATGCTTCTCATGAGTCGTTTCAGTTCTACCAATCAGGTGCACACACTGAAAAAAATGTCATGAAACCTTTAAATCGAATACGATCAAATGTGAAGTGCTTCATTTGTCTAACTGACATATATTTCTAGGAGTGTATGACGAGCCTTCATGTATAACCTCACGGTACAGCCATGCTATGCTGGCTGTGGGTTATGGTACAGAAAATGGACATGACTACTGGCTGGTCAAGAACAGGTAAATACCCACATGTGATGCTCATATTTGAATTCATGCAGTTCACTCTTTCTAAGAGTGAGTGCTGATACACACACACACACACACACACACACACACACACACACACACACACACACACACACACACACACACACATGTAAAATGCATATTGTTTAAGCAGGTCCTTATGTCTAGTGTGGACGCTATTCATTTTTTGTTGCTAAATGTTGCTCATTTGTTCTTTCCTGTAGCTTCGGCCTTGGATGGGGGGAGAAAGGATACATAAAGATGAGCAGGAACAAATCCAACCAGTGTGGGATTGCTTCTAAAGCAAGCTATCCTCTGGTCTGAAGAGGTGGGAAGAAACCCATCCTCAGTTTTTCCTTCTGATTTGACAGAAATTTATTTCAGTGTTTTTAACTGGGTTATGTAAATTTTATTTGTGGTGTTAAGAAGCTCTCTTTTCCTGCAATTGTGCTAATAAATGTATAAATACTGTAAATACATGCAAAAATAAATCAACTGTGAAACTGTGGTCTGTTGATCAATCCATCATCCAGGCAGAAATGTTCAGCACCTGTGGGTAAATTTTAGCTTTCTGGAGACATT